GCCCGGCTTCCCGGGGGCGGGTCCAATGTTTCAGCTGCTTTGGGTGACTTTGAAGACCACCCTTGTGGTTGCAAGCTGGAGTGACGGAAAAAAAACTCTGGAGTCAAGGCGGCGTTTTGCCTGATTTGGAGGCCCGACCCCGGCCTTGGGAACCTGTGGCATGACGCTTGGGAATGGCTCAGCCCGCTTCACCGGAAGAAAAGGTTGCTGCTCAGGGTGTCTGGTGAGAAAAGCAAGCTGAGGTGGCCGAGCTGGGCGCTTTGTCTCAGGAAGAAGCCGCAAGCGTTGTCTCTTTGCCACTTGGGCACGCAAGTGCGACCCAGGATAAGGGGTTCCTTGATTAACAGGTACAGGTAGTTGTTTTTTTCCAGTAGGTTCTTCTGTAACTAGCACGGGCAGAGAAAGTGAATGGCACACATCCAAAACTGTGCGCGAGCTGTTGTCATCCAAGGATTGAGCACGTGGAGGACGCCAATGATTGGGAAGATTCACGTGTCTGATCGGCGACCTTTCATTCCGGGCAGCAGCCCATGGTTTTCCGGCTCCGATGAAAGGTTAGAGTTAGAGGTTGACGTCACCAGTTCCTTTTGGGCTTGGCGTTGTGAAGCTAGACAGGCTAAAGACCTGATGCTCTTGGGAGCGAGCCCTTGCAAGAAGTTTGCTGCGTGCAGAAAGCGTTCAACCCCTCAGCCAGGGAGTGTGGTAGGGTCAAGACTAGCAACGTGTTTTGTCCAAAGCAGCTTTGCAGCGTTGCACTTTCATGTCGGTTAAAGGGAGGGGTGAAGTTGGTTGCCTCCTTTCAATTGTTTAACTTCCGATGTACACAATATGTAGAAAGATATAGACAGAGAGAGAAATCCAATCTGTCCAATCCTCGGAGCAGGAGCTGCCACAGGCTTTGCCACGAGTGGGGGCGCTGGATGCGTTGATCCTGCGGCTGCTGGACCGCGAGCTGTCCTTTGCGAAGCCCGCGGCAGCCGAAAGCCGGCAGCTGAGAGGTCCAAGAGCCAAACCGCCAATCCTTAAGCCAATCAAGGGTGACCATGGTGAACTTTTGAGCACACTCCGACCCGGTTCCGGAAAGAGGCTGAAAAGGTATCGAGGGTTGATGCTGGGGTGGTGGAAAGGGAGGACGAGGATGGCCGGACAATGGATGGATGACCTTTGGTTCTCGTGAGGGGGGGGGGGGAGTGAGCAATTGTTTTGCCGGCAAGATGGAAAAAAGGAATAAAAGCATCATTCTCTTTGGGACATTGTTTGGCTACGGCAGGCCCTACTATTGCGCCAAAGCGCAACCAAGGTCCCTCGTCAAGACATGATTCAACAACAATCAGCACAACATATTGGCCCAGCCGTCACACGGGTCCCTCCCCTTCAACCTCTTGCTCGACTCCTTCGCGACCTGAGGCGACGCATGGCACAAACTCTGCGTTGAGCTCATCAGCACCATAGCGCCATAGCTCCGAAGCGTCGCTTATGGCCCCGATGTGTCTGGAGCTCGCGCCGCTGCCAGACGGAGGCACGCCTGCCGGGCCAAAGGAGCCAGGCGCGAGCTGCCCCAGAGTGCACAAATGAGGCGCGAACTAGACGACTGGCATGACTTGCAAACCTTTCCTGCTGAGGTAGGGTTTTTTGGGGGACTCCGTCCCTTTGCGGGCACTTGTGTTATTATCATGTTAGGTTGCGCATACAAGTACAAGTCTTAGGCTGACACGACACTCCTTTGCTCGATCGTGATCATCCTCGCTGGGTGCGGACATACCCGGAGTTAGAACCCCTGTTTTGGCTGGAGAGGGTGGTTTGCCCTTGCCGCTTGGTTTTCTCTCAACACGCTCAACTCGCTTCGAGCCGAGATGTCTGAACCTTGGCAGGAAGGCGTCGGGCTCCGGCCCGGACGAAGGCGGGAGATTGCCTCACCTGGCACCCACTTGGGTTGTGATGGACTTTGTACATGGTGTGGCGATCAGTGGGCCAATTCCGATGTCCATCGTTCATTCCATCCTGGGGGCCATGGGTTTCCCCTCGCCGGCGATTTGGTCAGCTGGGTCTCTAGAATCTTTAGAGGAAACGGGATTGACAAGGATAGCCTATTTATCTTCAAAACAGGGTCGGAATAGAAGTGGCCTTGGGAAGTAGTTAAGGCCTGGTGTGGTTTGCAATCCTGTGGGCAACATGGAAGTCGCACTACATTTATCGATGAACCCACAGCCTTCATTTTGGCAAGCTGTTTGTGCACGGTGCGTGCGCAGGATGGATCAGCGCAAAGCTGAAGGACAAGGCTGGGCTGCCTCCTTTGCGAAGCCTGCGATGGCTTCCCCAGTTGTTTGCTGATTGTTCCGCTGGCCAAATCGACATGGGTGAGCCGATGAAAATGATAAAGCTTGGGGTATTGGCTAAAGGTACTGCCAAACAGGATTATCAAGCGGGCCCAGAGCCACAAGGACTGAAGTTCATTGAAAGTAGAGCAGTTAAGCATAATCATGACTGGCTGGGCAGCCCCTCCAAGGCGATTGACGGAGCCATGGCTGCTGGCTTTTCGGCTCATACACCCTTGAAATTGTGTGCTTACGATTGCCTTGACGTTTGCCTTCACATGTGCAGCAGAACACCCGGGGAACAGACTAGTGATGGCCCACCCCACACCTCCAAGCGTCATGCGAAGTTGGTGGGACTGGGACAGTGCTTCTTCAGTTCTTCGTTTTCCAACATGAACAACTGGAAAAGTGTCACCTAGCAACATTAGTAGGCTTGCCGCATGTCGAGCCCTCCAGCCATGCAGGCTGGGTAACTCCATGCGATTGCTGGCCGGCGTACTTTCAGAAAGGCAGTTCTGCCGACCACAAGGAGTTTCTTCAGATTAGTGGTGATTTGTGTCCAGGCTTGACTATGCTCTTGTAAAGATGTGCCATGCCACCTGGCTTCATGTTTTCCTGCTTGATCCCGTGTGGTTGTTTTCCTGGCTTCCCGCAACCAAATGCAGGCCAAGCCGCCTGTGAACTCAGCCACTTGGTCAAAGGGCCGCAGAGAGCCACATCCAGGATGTCTTAACAACCTTTTGTGAACGAAACTGTGCTTGATTCGGGCCAATTGAATATCAGTCATCAGCTGAGTCAGAGGATCCCGCTTGCACTTGCTACATGCGTGTAGGAGGGGAGCCTCCTAAGATGTTTGATACCAAATGCTTCATGTTAAATAAAACCCATGCATATATGAATAATTATATATATATATATATGTAAACATGTATGTATTTATATATGCATGTCTATATATATATAGGCTATTCGTTTTATGCAAAGCAATTCCAAATAAGTTATAACACTTAATTATGGCAATAGTAAGGGTAACAATTGTAAGAACAAGAAGGATGATCGATTCTTCTTTTTAGACAATATTGCTGTTGGTAGGCCAGTGGTTCATGCCATAGTATGGGTGGCATTCTCTTGTAGGGGGTCCCATCATGCCGGTCCCTAGTTTGTAATCTGCTGGATGGACAGGCGGGAGTGTTTCCCGCAAGCAGAGGATACACCGAGCAAAGGTCAACAATGAATTCGCAAATCAGGGGTCCACAGCCTTTCAACACTCAGAAGCTGACAGGAATCCTTAAAAGGATGACACCTGCCAATATGCAGGTTGGATGCCCAAAACCGAGCTTCGCCTTACTTCGTTTCTGGTGATGAAAGCACCCCATGGGGAAGTCATGTCCCGTGTGAGTGTTCAAATGCGGCTGTGGGTCAAAACCAATGGTACCATGTTGGGGTAGGTGCACCACCCATTCTAGTCTATTTTAGTGGGGATTGGGATGTTCACTGGGAGTACGGGGTTTTGACCCATGGCCATGTGGCGCAGCCATGGAGCCCATCCCAACTCTTGGAGAAACTTCCTCGTGTTTTTCCCGAGGCCCGCGTGCCTTACTTGGACTTTGCGGAGGACTTCGTGGGCGTCATCTCACGGGGCGAGAAGCGGGCGACCACGAGGTGCCCTGGGCCCAAGGACGGGCTGGTGGTAAGGCTCAGTCCGAAGCAAGTGGTCGGAATGTGTTCCTTTTGGTTTCCGGCGGTGTGTGCTTGTTTGCGTCCTGGCAGCCCCCGGTCTGTTGGGCAAGTGCGGACGCGTCTCTGCTGTGGCAATTCTTGGTCAAGACAGACAGAAGTACAGAAGTGACTACACCTAACATTCAGGCGTGTGGCTCGACAGGCCAGAAGGGAGGCAGCCTAAGGAACACTGAGGTTTGTCGGAGCTGGCTTAAAGCACTGCCCCGTGAGGACACCGATGTCACCAGCGCAGCTGGGCTGCAGTGTGGGAGGGGGGGGGAGTTGCGCATTGGCGACGAGCTGCTTGTGTCACATGTTTGGGGATCCCCTGTTCAAGTAACAGCCTCGGTGAAAGACTGGTTCAATCAAATCCAGCGGCTGTGAACTTGGAGGCTAGCCAGGTGGGTTGTGAGCTTTGACCTTTCAAGCATACTTACCGTGAAAGGCACCAGTGAACGCTTGCTCTTGAAGATGTTGCACTTTCCTACTGAGAACCAGCAAGATGGTGACCCAGGATTTGGACGCGGTGATCGCCCAGGGCTGGGCCCTGGCCACTGCCGGGGGAAGAAGTTCCTTCGCGCTGCTGGCGGTGGACCGCGTCGAGCGCCGCGCCCCGGTTGTTCCCCTCGAACTCAGTTGGGAGATGGAGGGGGTAGTGGGCAATTGGCGTTTGGGTTCCAACATTCACAAGCACCATTAAAGTGCAACAAGCTAGCGTGGTGTATGCACTTCGCTGCAAAGGGATTTTTCCCAAATCAGCAGTATGCCGCTCCAAGATCACTATGAAGTTCCTTGATGAGACCGCAGAAATGTTGACGATGAAGATGTTGAAGGTTGAGCAAGCAGGCCGAAAGTGCAAGTGTTCACTGGAATTGCACAGCATGCAGGTCATGGCCATTTGGTTCGCCCATGGTGCTCAGCGCGCGTGTGACGGGCACATACTGAGGAGCGCTGGCTGAAGTCGACGATAGCCTCGCGCAAGAAGAAGGCAACTTAGTGCACGTCCGCGAATCATGGCCTTTCCATGGAGTTCGGAGCTCCGCGCCATTGCCATTGTTGGAGCAAGCGACGTAACAGCATGGCGGCCAACCGTTTCGTGCAAGAACTTGCCATGTTCTATCGGACGGCGTCTCAAGGAGGTTGAGACCCTCCCCTTTTGGCGAACTGAGTTAGAATGCCCAGGTCTGCACACGGGCGATGAGCTCCGTAGCACCTTGCAGCGCTTCTATCCAGAGCTTGCTGCCGATGATGTGGTGACGGTGGTGCATTTCCAATTGTTGCGTCTCGGCAGACAAGGAAAGTTCACCGTTGATGTGGCCTGCATCGCTGGCCGATTTTGCACAGACTTCAAGGGGCCGTTGTACTCCATTGTGCTTCATTGCTTTTAAGCTTAGCCAGCTCCCTGTATCTGAGGAAGCTGATCCCCGCAGCGGGCGGATAAAAGATGTGCCTTGCTTGGGGCACCGCCATCTACTAATGACTGGTTCAAACCGCCTCGAGCTTTAGCCATAAACATCCTGGATCCGCCTTGACAGCGGGGTTTAATCATGTAGCCGCGTGTCGCCCCACCTCATCTGCTGACCTTTGGCTTCAGGGAAGCTCCTTAAACCCAGCGGCCAAAGTACGACCAGTTGCCTGTGCATCGGAACTAGTTGGACCTCGTGGTAGGCTTCCTGCGCCCTTTTTGCCGCCGGTTGACACCAGAAAGAACGGGCCCGAAAACTTGAAACTCCGGCTCTTTGGAGCAGGCGCTGGCTGTTCGCATCGAGGATTTGGCTCCCGCATGTGCCTCAGCATGCCAAGGTGTGCGACATTGCTTTGTCAGTATTCACATGTTGGCTCGCTATCCCAGAGCACCTTGGATGATCCAGTAAAATACTGTCAGAAGCATGTGCTTTTGTCTTCAAGCCACTTTTCGTGGTATGTTCATTGCGGTCAAGCATGACTGTCGAACGAAGAGGTGACTTGCACGAAGTTATCATGGAGCAAGTGGCATGATAGCCACTCATCTCTGCCTGAGGAGGTGTAAATAGCCATTGCAGTACTTGCTGCAATTGCCAGGACCTTGCATGTCATAAAAGGGGCCCAACTCCAATCACAGAAGTTCTGCCGGTGCAGAGTTGTAGCATGTTGTTTTCCGCCCAGGTCCTGGTGTGTTTCTACTCCGGCGGCATGACGTCGGCGCAAGGGCCGTGAACTCAGGTATTTTTGGAGGATGGTCAAAAAGAATAGGTTCCTCAAGTTGGAGCCATGCACATAGGAAGCAGGCAGCGATGAACATCAGCAAATGAAGAGGCGTCGTTGTTGCACTGTGTGTTGGAGCAGGGGCCATCTCCGTTTGCCAAGGCGGGCACACCTGAGAGCGCGAGGCTTATCGCCGGCCTTGGCTGAGAATTCGCTGAGCCTGCGAGCATGATGGCATGTGTGTATTGGACGCGTTCGCCGCAATTTAAAACCAGTTCGGGGGGAGTGGCAGAAGCTGTCACCGCAGAAAGTAGTCAAAATGGCTGTGAATTCCATTTCTTTGTGTTGGTGCCCCATGCCCAGGTGTTCCTGGAAGCAGCCCGTGCGGCTGGCCTGTCCACACAGCTTGCTGGGGGCTTGGCCTTGGGGCAGCACTGAGACTGCCATGGGGTTCGGGTGATTTCAGGATGGCGTGTTGACTAAAGACCCAACCGTGTGAACGTCACCGGCAGCGCCTCGTTTCCATCGATCAAAATCCTCAGGACAAAGCAAGGGAAACGACCTGGTAACGAGTTTAATTTGAGATCTCAAAGGGACATGGGCTCGAAAATGCCTGACCAAGGACGGCAGGAATCAGCTCATGAGTTTCTTATTTTAAGACAAGCAGCGATCATCACGTGAACATGCTGGATTTTTGTTTTGCTCTAGCAGATGCTGGGAGACGCTCCACCCCTCCCTGTCAACGGCTGAAGGGCCTATTGGTCACTTGGGAGATGCGCTGGTTTGCTGCCACCCCTTGTCCAACCACGACCAATAAGGAACAGGTGGGCAGCACTACAAAAAAATGAGTTTGTTGGATCTGATGCAGCAAGTCGGAAGGCTTTTTAGCCCTCCCCGTTATCATTCGTTTGTCGCTTGGACTGGATGCTCAAGGTCAAGCTGCCGGCGTCAAGCGCCATGGAGTACTACCCGCAAGGCCCGGGATATACCGCAGGGCGGCTGCAAGCCGTGCCGGCGATGAACCCTGCGGACGACAAGTACGAGGCGAGCGTCTTTGCGAGCCGGTTCTCCAAACTGAATTTATGTTCTCCAAAGAGCGTATCTTCGACGTTACTTTTTGCCCCCTCGGTGGTCATCACGCTCCTGGTGACAAGCCGAGAGCTGGTTTGGCTGAGTTCATTTTCCTTTGCGCCTCTCCGACAGGTGGTGTACTCGCTGGTGCAGGACCTGCAGCGGGGGGACGAGCGCGAGCAGCCGCTGCTGGAGCTGTCGAAGCGGCGGGAGGCGGTACAGGACCTGGCGCCGGTGTTGTGGTGGGGGCCTCAGATGGCTTAGGTCCAAAGCGATGTGATTCTATGAAGTGTTCCTATCATAGCTGCCTCGCACAAAGCTCCAACGGTCCTAAACCAAGTCGAGCCCCATCACTGAACTCTCACCCTGTAACAGCCTGACCCAACCTCAAGCGATTCAACACGTGCTGTAAGAATGCGGGTTCTCGTTATAGAGAGCACAAAAGGTTGCAGGGTTCAGTAAAGCAAGGCGAGTGACTTGCGTTTTTTTGTGCAGGGATTTAGGGATCCGCGGCCCACGGGATCCATCCCCTGTATGGGTGCCCCCCTCCTTTACCAGAGAATCATTTATAGAGGGGTCCCTCAGAGCGTGATAGGAAATCCCATAAGCCATCGACGATATGATTCTGAAGAGGGGTGGGTTTGCACAACGAGCCATGGAAGGGCTGATTTTTTGGGGGCCCATCATTTCCTCCTTATCCGTCGCACATGTGAATGAAGCAAAAGGGGGGGGGGGTTGGGATGTTGGTAGGGCAGAGATGCCGAAGCAAAAGCCACATCGTTCACCAATGGTTCAAAAGCCGACCTTTTAGATATCCCGTCTCAGCCTATGCTTTTGCAGGGTCCTCAAATTGCAAGCTTGGGCCTGCAAGTAAGACTCCTTCGTTTTCCAGCGCGTACCACACGGAGCAACAGGCTTTCCTCTTCGAGTCAGTTGAGCCTTTGGCAAGGGCAGCGTAGCTTGACGTCGACATATAGCACGGCGTTTCCAAATTGACTCCTGGCAATTGGCCAACGCCGGGCAACGAGCTTTTGCTGAGGAATTCCTTTGGGACCCTCGTGGTGCTCATTCAGGAAATTGTGCAGATCTACCCGCAGCTGGCCCAGCCCAACAGCCTCACCGCCTCTAGCTCCAACCGGGTTTGCAACTCTTTGGCGCTGATGCAGTGCGTGGCATCCCATCCGGACACCCGCCCCCTGTGCCCATGGCTCGATTCAGGAAAAGCTTTTTGAGCCTGCTTCGGGGCTCACCATGTTTTTTTGGTTTGCAACTTGTCATGCACATGTTTTCTGTGCTATCGCTTGGGACCGTTGTTGTCGCGACGTAAGAAGTCTATGGTTTGCAACTTGCGCTGTGCAGCTCGTATGTGTGCGTGTGTCTTTTGTGCTATCGCTTGGGCCCTTTGTTGCCACGTGCCGAAGTTTATCAAATTGCGTACAGCCTCACTTGCGACGGCCCAGGTTCCTGAAGGCGCAGATCCCACTGCTTTTGTACCCCTTCCTCAACACCAACAGCACAGAGAGGCCTTTCGAGTATTTGAGGCTCACCTCTCTGGGTGTCATCGGGGCACTGGTGAAGGTGGACGACCCCGAGGTCATTAGCTTCCTTTTGCACACCGAGATCATACCGCTCTGCCTGAAGATCATGGAGATCGGCAGCGAGCTCTCCAAGACAGTGGCCACCTTCATCATTCAGAAGCTGCTGCTGGACCCGCAGGGCTTGCAATATGTGTGCCACTCCGCGGAGCGTTTCTATGCAGTGACCAGCATGTTGGCCAAGATGGTCGATGTGCTGCTGCAGGCCCCTTCCATCCGGCTGCTGAAGCATGTGGTCCATTGCTACCTGCGGCTTTGTGACAATGCCCGCGCCAAGGACGGGCTCCCCAGTCTTCTCATGGAGCCTTCAATTCTCCCACATGAATCTGAGTCATGTTGAATCCAACATCTTGCCTGGAGTTGGGTCCCCCCAGCGAAATGTGGTTTGGACCACCTTCTGCCCTCCAATCATCCAATGCTGGGGAAGCCCTGCCCTGGAGGAGGTTCTCAAGCAGTGCTTACCCCCTGCCCTGCAATCGGATCCAAGCCTCAAGAGACTCGCGGAGCCGATCAGCAACTGCCTGGAGGAAGACCAGATGACCAAGCGCTGGCTGGTGTCCTTGGTTACCAGCCTAGGCTACAGGTGATGGGCCCAGGCCCTAAACCGCACAGGTGGATCACCCTGAAGCACAGCATGGTTGCCACAGAAAGCTGCTTCGGGACCAAATTCGAAGCAACAGGCCCCTTTTGAAGCCTGTTGCACTCATTCACCATTTGTAAATATCCAAGTTGTCAGAGGAGCTGCCAATGATCGCGCGCCGACGATGAAAAACTTGCCAGCGACAGCAAGCATTGTTTCAGAGACGGCTGCATGGGAAGACGGTCACAGCGCCACTCAGGTCTTGGACCATGCCACGGAAGAGCCTTTCAGGCCACTCCAAGCTCAAGCCAGAAGGGTGCGTCTTCCAGCATTTCGAAGGGTGGTGATCTTTTAAGAGACTGGGACTGGCCTGACCAAGCCAAGACAAACTTTCAGGACGCTTGGCCAGGGAAGTTGTTTTGAACCAGCCAGACCATTGCCCCAATCGCAGGAAGCTTACGGAAGGGTCGTATCCCTTTCCCAGAGCCAGGCACTGCGAAAACTGGCCGCGCTACCTCGACGCTCTGCAGCGAGAGGCGCACGCCAAAGCTATGGTTCCAACATGTTTCAAGGATGTGCAAACCTCATGGCCACTTGGCCATGTCTGATATCTTGGACTTTGTTTAGACCTTTGAAAACATGGGCCCTCAAAAAACTTGCCCAGTTTCGATAAACTCGCGCTACTGCCAGGGGTTCGCACATTATGCATTCGAAATGCGTCCTTGAAGATGCACACATACCCTGCGAAACCAATAAACAATACCATGGTCCTGTAGAACAAGCATTGCAAGCGGGATGGTGGGAAACAGTCAGAATGGGCTCGGCGTTGGCGAGTTGTAAGACCAAAAGATGACGGCTCTATCATTAGAAAGCACATTATTATGTGCAATGCCTGGGGTTATGTGCAATGCCTGGGGTTGGGTCTACTTGCGCAGTTTCTTGTGGTTGCTTCAGCGCAGGGTTCTGGCTGGTTGAGTATTTTGTGCTCCGCGTTTGGGCCGCTTTGTTGGGGCTACAAAGCAGCCGAACACCAACTTAACACTACACCAGAGCCAACTTGCCAGCCGCAAACCCGGCGAGAAACCGCCCTCAACCAACTCCAAGCCCGCAAGAAGTCACACTAAAATTCACACATCATGTCCAATCCTGGGACAACCCTAAAGCAACACAGTCCAAGTATCGCCCTGAGCTCCTAAAGTAGCCCCAAACCTGGCGAAGCTGTAGTTTGCAACGTGATGTATTTATCAACCATGTAAAACCCCAATGCATGAATGTCTCACTTGCGTAGTCTCATCATTACGACTGCGTATGGCTCAAGGAAAAAGCGCGCTGAGTACAGGGTTCATTTGTGACCCTTCCCGGTTGTTCAACCTGTTCTATAGGTTATCAGCCGTAAGCGGCTCTTTGTACAGAGTTGTACGCCATGGATGGCGACCCTGGACTACCCCATACCGAGGTGCGTCCCACACCTGATGAGCCCGCAGGCGATGAAGACGCCTCGCAATATGAACCGACTAGTCGAGCAAACTCCCAAGTGGCCAGGGAGCTCAGCAGGAAGGGACAGGCACTGAGCAGTCAGGGCCCCGAATCACTTCGATCTCGGAGTGACCGTGGGAGGACTGGGCGGTCTGGTGCTCGATCGCCTTCACCTGTTGGATCAGATCGGCATCGGCATGGTGACATCGTCATGTACGACCCCCAGACCGATCTCGCAAGGGGAAACCCTATGCCACAGTCCATGAATCAGTTCAACCAACATGTTGCAAACGTCCACCTCGATCCTTCAATGACGATCAACCAGGACGTGATGAACTATCAGCAGATCAACGCTACCCAGAACAATGCCCAATTCAACCAGTTCGTGAATCAGGACACCGGTCCCATGGTCGCCCAGATGGCAGAGGCAAGGCATGGTGAGATTATTGCCGGACTTCAAAGCCAATCGGAGGCCATGAGACGCGAGATTCAAATGAATGCGGAGCAGCGTGTGAACACCATGAAATCAGAAAGAGAAGCCGAGATGAAGTACCAAAACGCCATGAACACGATCAGCGAGCAGGAGAAGCAGATCAGGGAGCTAAGGGCTATGGTCGAGCAGATGATGCAGAGTCAACAGCAACCGCCTGCTCAACCTGCTCCAGCCCCTGCGCCTCCCGTTCAGCAGGCACCAGCTACCCCCTTGGCTATCCCAACCGTTCCCTTGGCTGCATCTCCACCCGGACTTTCGAATGCTTCCTCGCACAGTTGGACGAAGGTCGGGAGCGACCCCTACGGCAAAGACGGATCCGTTCCCGCCGGGGCCGTGGACGATGCTGCTACCGGAGACGGTTGGCCTTGCGATGATGGTGATGGTGGAAATGACAAGGACAAGAAAAAGAGGAAGAAGAAGAAAAAGAAGAAGGACCGTAGCCGACGCCGGCGACGAGATCCATCATCTTCTCCCTCGTCATCTTCGTCATCAACTTCGACTGCATCGGATGAATCCTTTCGACGAAAGCTACTGAAGCACTTAGGTAATTCGAGCGATCCGACAGCGGAACGCGTTCGTGTAAAGGAGGGTGACAGAATTCAGATTCCCCGATTCCCGAAGCCCGAACAGTACCGTAATTGGAGGATCAAAGTTAGGGATGCTGTTGTTGCTACTTCCGACCAACCCGAAAAGGCATTTGAGTGGATTGAGGCAACTTGGATCCCAGGTCAAACTGTTGAAGTCCTTCGTGATTCAGGAATGTTTGTCCATCTTGATGCAAAGCTGGCATCGGCGTTGACGAATATCTTGGAGGGCGACCTCGCGCGGCAAGTCGACATTTTCAAAGAACAAGAAGCAAAGGAGAAACGCTACGCGAGGGGGCGCCAAATTCTTTTGATGGTTCACAAGCACTTCAGCACGAACATCAAACATGGTGCAATTTACGACTTTGAGGACTTGCTCTCTGTCCAGCTCATCAACGAGGACCTCAAGAACTTCATGACAAGATGGGACACGGTCATCGCTGGAATGGGCAATGAGCAAAATGAGAAGACCCTTGAAGCGCTGTTCCACCGCCAGATTCGAAAGTTTCGGCCTCTCAGTCATGATCTCAATGAGTATGAGCGGGCTGAGGAAGGGACGGAAAAGCACTCCTATAAATTCTTGATTGACGCATCGAGGAATTATTTGGAGCGCAAGAGGCTTGTTCACATGCGGGATGCTATGTCAAGCAACACAACGGGACGTGGCAGGACTCCATCGAACAACCCTGCAGTTCCTGGAATCCCCAAGGGTGTATGTGTGAAATTTCAAACTGGCCAGTGCACCTATGGTTCAGACTGCCGATTCGAACATGTTAAGGCAGGGCGGATCAAGATCCCAGACGCCAAGGAAGTATCGTTCGCAGAGTCCCCCTGGTTCGAAGCCCCAGGTGTGCAAGTTCTTCAAAGCGAACAGATGTGAGAGAGGGAAAGATTGCCCATGGCAGCACCCCGCAACTTCCAAGGCAGCTCCAGCCCCAAAGGCCGAGAAGACCGCTAGTGGAGACACCCCCAAGACATCGCCGAGAGAGAAAAAGAAGAAGAAGAAGAAGGGTAGCAGGCCTTCTTCTCAAGATTCGAAAGATTCGAAGGGTTCTCAGTCCCTCAAGTCTCCGCGATCGTCAAAAGGCAGCAATGCTGCGGTGTGCCTCCTCCAGGCGATGGTGTGCGCCGCGACCCTCGACTCGGTCGCCTCGCATCCTTGCTTGCCTAGTGTGACTCACGATGTTTTCCAGAGTATGCCATGTATCAAGAAGTGCGTGCAATTCTCTGATTACCCATCTATTTCGAACTATGAGACTGACGGCGAGCTTTGGCCCTACACTGCCTCGTCGAGAAGGTTTGCACACGAGTTTCCTGTTGATTATGTTCCGAAGTTCGATGAGAGAGCTGTTTCTGACGCAACTCTTATCGGCACCATGCATGAAGCTATGATGAAGGATTTGCTCAAAGGCACGAAGACTCCTTGCAAATTTCAATGCGACTCTGATTTCGGCTGTGATTCCTGCATCCCCGCAGGCCTAACGGCCGAGCCAGAGAAGCCCGAGACCTCCCCCAAAAAGGGGAAAGCTGCTGTTGCTCGTATGACAATGGATTCTTCTCACATTCCGTGGATCGCGGATACAGGAGCTTCTCAGGATTTGCTGTCGGGAACCGATGCGGAGGTGGGGTGTATTTACGAATCGTCTCAGCCTCTGAAATTTTCCACAGCCAATGGGAATATTATCGGTACCAAGCACAGGGTCAAGATCCAACAGACCGATAGTGTTGTTCGGCCATATGTTCTTGACAAGGCTCCATCCGTGTTATCCGTGGGTATGAGATGCCTCAGGGACGGATATGATTTCGTTTGGAGAGCCCACAGCAGACCTTATTTCCGACTTCCGGATGGTTCACGTATCAAGCTCGAGGTCAAAGACAATGTTCCATTCATTCCCCCAGCAACTCAAAATGCTGTTCCAGCTTTGTCACAGAGCATTCCAAAGGTTACATCATTACCATCAGCTCCCATTGAAATTGAGGATGAAGTTCTGGTCATTGACGAGGAACCAGAAGCTGTTGAAGAGGTGCTTGTGACCAATGAGGATGATGGGGATGAATTGGGGAACGATGATTTCTTGCTTGAGGACACCATTAGCCAACCGGAAGGTGAGGTCATTGAAGAGTGCCATGACATTCCCTCCGAAGATGCGCCTAAGGTCATCGCTTCCGATTTTGTGTCTAAGCCTATTTTGAAGGACGCCCCTCGCGAACGCGGTGAAGCAGCTTTGCGTGATGAGGCGACCTCACTCCAGCACTTGATGTGTCACACTCCCAAGAACCCCTTTTGCGAGACTTGTAACAGGGCGAAGATGTACAAATATCCATCAAAACAAAAGGGAGGTTCCACTCAAGTCGAGGCCAAGAAGTTTGGTGATCACCTTACGGCGGACCATCTTATCACATCAGATGATCGTGAAATCGGCATTGATCAATCTAGAGTTGCACTTGTGGTTCGAGATGTTGCCACTGATTTCCGTTATGTTTACCCAGCAGCACGGAAAACCTCTCATCAGTGTGTGATGGCATTCAAGCACTTTGTCCGCACCGGGGAAACCGTGAACGTGTTTTACAGTGATCGGGCTCCTGAACTTGTGAAAGCGGCGGATCAATTGGAATGGAAGCATGTTCAAAGTACAAACTACATTTCCAAAACGAATGCTATTGCTGAGAGGAACGTCAGGGCGATTATCGAGGGCACGAGGACCAACCTGGAACAAGCTGGTTTGCATCATTCGTATTGGCCACATGCGGCCAAACACTATTGCATGGCGCATAACATCACGGACCACCCAGATTATCATTCACCATGGAAGGTACGTTTTGGAGAAGATTTTCCCGGACCATATTTGCCCTTTGGTTGTCAAGTCAACTTTTGGACTGGCCCGAGGAATCGACCCAACAAGCCTTTGAAGTTTGAACCTACTTCCAGGGCTGGAATATTTCTGGGGTATCCCATCCATCCTGACTTTCTTTGGCGTCACGA